ATTAAACAGTCAGTACACATATTGTTTTATGACATTGGTTAACAACCCCACGACACGTCAACACTCTCCCTTCTCGACCATGGAAGACCTTTTTTTGTTTGTTTTTGGTGAAAATATACATAGCCAAAGTTACACCATCTCAAAAATTTCTGCATGTACAATTCAGTGACAGCGATTACATTCTTCCAGTTATGCCGCTTTTCTCACTATCCTTTTCCAAATTATTGAGAGGGAAATTTTTTTTAAAATCCTGGATATACATGCAGAATTTACCACATTACGTTACTAAAATTATGTTTCTATGTCTGTCTACCCTGCCATTGCATGTATTATGTGTGTTTGTATCCCCAATGCTTAGCCCATGGTAGATGCTCAACTGACATATGTTGACATGTGATGCATGTTGAACTGAACTAGCGACGTAGTAGCAAAGAGCTGGTGAAAGAGCAAATGTCCTCCTTGCAGAGGACATTAGCCTCCAGACCTGTATGTGAGGCTTTAGCTGGATTTACACCCGCCATAGGCCTGCAGGGCAGGCGGCCCATTTCTATAAGTACCTCGCTCAGTCAGGGGAGTGAGGCTGGACTGGCTGTCAGCGCCGGCGATGCTCCTGGTAAATTATTCAGAAGGTGGGTTAAAGGTGCACTGCCTTCCGTTTCCCACAGAGATGCACTTTCATTCCCTGAGATGACAACTTCTGTGTACTCACTTAATGGGATCCCAAATAACACATTTCAAACAAATCTTTTACCGTGGTTGCCCCCTTGGAACACATTTCAAATGCTGACCATTAAAAACAGGCCATTTCACAGCCTTCTAATGATGACGCTAATAACTGTGGGTTTTGTCTCCAAGAGTCCTGATGAGCACGGACGGGCGAGGAGTAAATTATGGAGCTAACTTTTATGTGTGGGGTTTATTGATCTCTGAGCTTCAGGGGAACTGCACCAGCCGCTATAACTTGGCAGTCCAGAATACCTTTTCATCTGTGTAATTGGGCCACCAGGGCACAGTTAATTTTCAATTTCCATTAATAGGAAGACAAAGAACATGGTGTGCCATCTCTGTATTAAAGTAGGGGACACATCGAAATACTCTTATAAACATATCAGTTCTCCTGTGACCCAGCAAGGATTATGCTGCAGTTCATCATAGTTTATCATGAGAAGGCTCAATGCTGCCATCCATGTTTGTGTCTCTAGAGGACATAATATGGAGCCCTGGTGGCACAGTGGTTAAGAGCTTGCTTGCTAACCAAAAGGTCAGCAGTTCGAATCCACCAGCCGCTCCTTAAAAACCCTATGCGACAGTTCTACTCTGTCCTGCAGGGTTGCTATGAGTCGGAATCGACTTGATGGCAACGGGTTTCAGGATGTTTTTAGAGTACGTAAAGACATTCCATCATAAATTGCCCAGCTGTCTTAGCCTATGTTTTCTCTCATCTTTGATTCTTAACAGGTGAAAGTCATGCTTCGCATCTGTTCCACACTGGCTCGTGATACCTCAGAATCCAGCTCCTTCTTAAAGGTGGACCCGCGGAAGAAGCAAATCACCTTGTATGACCCCCTGACTTGTGGGGGTCAAAATGCCTTCCAAAAGAGAGGCAACCAGGTCCCTCCTAAGATGTTCGCTTTTGATGCAGTTTTTCCACAAGATGCTTCTCAGGTGGGTGTAAGACCCTCTCTCAGGCTCAGGCAATTTTGATGAGTTTAAAGTAGTTTTTACTCATTCACTAGTACCTGTGAGCTGGGAGGGCATCTTCTGGGGCACTGTGATGAACCGGCCCCTCATCTACACAACAACTTTTAGGAGGCAATTTGAGCTCCCTTGTAATAGTTTAGCCCTTTTGAATTACTGGTGTCATACCCAGGGAGGGATCAGTGTGCTGGGATTTCAACAGATACACAGAAGCAGGAAGACAGCAGGGAGAAGCAGAAGTTACGGGAATAACCGTGTCAGCATGCTGGGTGGTCTGTTAGTGAATGGACCCCACTCCTGCCTGGGCTTCTGGGTGTGGGCAACTAAGGGGAAGCAACTTTCAGGGTTAGAGTTAGGCAGGGTCTTAGGGCCCTTTATAAGCACACTGAGGTTGAGGGCAGGTCTCTAGTCCTAGTGAGGAACTGGAGTGCTAGGCAGGGTAACTGAGGCTGAAATGCCATCCTATGGCTTGGATCAACAGGGTGGAGGTAAAGAAGAGAGGCTGGGGAATAGCTGTTGTATCAGCTCTTGCTCATTACAAACCACCCTAAAACTCAGTGGCCTAAAACATACATTTATTATTGCTCATGAGTCTATGGGTCAACCAAATAGTTCTTCTGGTCCTAGATCAGCTCACATACATGATCAGTTGTGGGGTGGGTAGGTAGCTTTGCTGGTCTTGTCTGGGTGCTGTCACATGTTTGGGGATTAGCTGGCTTTAGGTTGGTCTAGAATACCCTTGGCCATTCTAGTCTCTCTTCCACATTGTCGCTTATCATCAGCAGGCTAGCTTGGGCTTGTTCTCATGACAGTAGCAAGAAGCCAAGCATGCAAAGACCGCTCGAGACCTAGGCTCAGAATTCATACCACATCACACTATTGACCAAAGCCAGTCGCAGGCCCTGATTCTTGAGTCTGTCTCTTGACGGGAGAAGCTGCAAAGTCATATAGAAAAGAGTGTGCATACAGGCAGGGATGAAGAATTATGGCTGTTTTTGTTAGTCAAGAGTGACTATAATTTGTAAGCTACATGGGGGCCCCAGGTACCAAGATTCCTGGGACATGGGCAGATAATTAATTGCATACTCTACCAGATGTTGCAACTGAATCCTCTACTAGACATCCCCTCTTACTGGGATTGGCTCTGGGAGATTCGATGAGCGTGGGTGGTACCAAACAGTGCCTGCTTCTGCGAGGGGCTAGGGATTGGAGAGAGACATGAGTCTAGGGCTGACTGAGTGCAGAAATAAGTAAGTCAGGTTACAGGTGTACAGGTTACAGGCCTACTTTGCCTGAATTTTGGCATCAGGCAGCTTCACCTTTCTAATTAATTTCTAATTAATACCATGTTCAGTATGGTAACTAAGAGCCTATAGCAGAGCCTGAGGACAATGGTGCTAATAGATGCCACTGCAGCTTCTGTTAATTCCCTCCATGTTGCATCTGAGTATAGAAAGTAATGATGTTCACATAGACTCTTTTATTACACCATAGGCACGTAGCACATTTTATAGGCTTCATTCATTAGGAAACTGAGCATGTGGTTTCTCCCAGAGAGTTTTACCCAGAGAAGACAAAGTACTTCTTGAATAAGTTTAATGGTTTCTCTCTTCATTAGGTTTTTTTGTGTGTGGTATCACCCAGTGAGCTCAGTAACCTAAACCGGACATTGGGTCTAATAAATGGCCTACAGGTAATTTAATTAACACAGTTAAAACTTCTCAGAAACAAATCTCCATAAACTGAAAGCATTCCAAAGCAAACCCTAGATTAAACAGAGACTATTAATGAGCTTTAGATTTATTCCAGAAAAAGGAGCCATTTTTATTGTTAACCTTCGCTTACATTTCATAAGTGGTTCCAATGCTCAATATGCTCAGTACCCATCTGATGGCAGTTTCACTTACTTTAGAATGTTTTACTTTTTTAAAAAATTCCATTATTAAAATAAACTCCATAAATTTGCAGTTTTCAGACAGTTTTGTATACAGTAACCCGTTTGACTGTTGCATAGGGGTTAAGCACTATGGCTGCTAACCAAAAGGTTGGCAGTTCAAATCCACCAGCCACTCCGTTGAAATCCTATCGGACAGTTCTACTCTGTCTTACTGGGTCTCATAAGTCAGAATTAACTCAACAGTAACGGGTTTTATATAAAGTAATATAACTGGATTTATTATAGGAGTCCTGGTGGCACAGTGGTTAAGAGCTCAGCTGCTAACCAAAAGGTCGGCAGTTCGAGTCCACCAACCGCTCCTTGCAAACCCTATGGGGCAGTTCTACTCTGTCCTGTCAGGTTGCTATCAGTTGGAATCGGCTCGACCACACACAACACCAACAGAATTCTGTGGTGTAGAAAAGAGGGGCACTACTATTTTCACATTACAGACAAGGAAACAGAGACTCAAATTTAAGTCATTTGTTCCTAGTCCCTTTCCTGAGCAGACATCTTTCCTGTAGTCTTCCAGTTAACCTCTGTGTATCCTGCTTGGTTTGCTGGTTAATTTTACCTCCACCATTCTTACTAGCGGTGTGTCCTTGACAAAGTCACTTAACCTCTCTGGGCCTCAGTATCCTCATCTGTAAAAGGAGGGAATGACTAGAACATACCTCATCAGTTGCTGTGATTCATTGAGTTAATATACATGATGTATTTAGAACAGAGCCAGGATATACTAAATGCCCAAGAAATGTTAGCTGTTATTACTATCATATCATCATTGTTGTTAGAACTTGTTGAGTTGGCCCCCAGACTCATGGCATCCCCCATGCTCAACTGGATCAGACCATTATGATCCATAGGGTTTTCATCAGCTGATTTTTGGAAGTAGATCTCCAGGCCTTTCTTCCTAGTGCATCTTAGTTTGGAAGCTCCACTGACACTCAGCATCATCATAGCAAGATGCAAGACTCCACTGACAGATCAGTGGTAGCTGTGTATGAGATACATAGGAATTGAACCTGGGTCTCCACTGTGGAAGGCGAGAATTCTACCACTGAACCTCCAATGCTCCCATATCATCATTAGTAATATTGGTGTCTTGTGCTGGGCATGACCAGCCTCAGCCCCGTTGGAGTGGGCACCGTTTGAGCTTCTGAAGCACAGAAGCAGGAAAGTGTGCAGAGTGGAGCTCTGCTCTCATGTCCTTGCTGTTGGTCTGTGAAGCTGCAGCCACCATGGTGGGCTGGGGTAATTATGAGTTATGCCTTCCCTCAGTTTCTAGGGACATTAGCTTCCTGAAGCTAAGCAATGATCAGAGCATTCCTTGTTACTCTGAGTGATCCTCATTCCTTGTAAGTTGTCTTGGCGGTAATCAGCTGCCCACTGCTAGGGAAAACCTCTGCTTAGAGGAGGATTAGTAGGGAGACCTCAGACCTGCAGTTGAGCAGAAGCTTCCTGCAGACTTGGCCTTGCCCACGGGTTGTGCTTGGGAAGGCTGCATGCTTCTCCAGGCCGAGACGGGAAAGGCAGCCAGGGCCCTGTTACGGATTGAATTGTGCTTCCAAAAAAAGATGTGTTGTAGTCCTAACCTCTGGTACCTGTGAACATCACCTTGTTTGGAAATGAGGTCTTTGAAGATGTTATGAGTTAACATGACTGAGGCGGGTGTGTTCTAATTCCATCTAAGTGGTATCTTGTAAAAGAGAAGACACAGGGAGTTAGCCAGGGGAAGGATGGTCGTGTGACTTCCGAGGCAGATGAAAGCCAGGGAACACCAAGGACTGCTGAGAGCCACCAGAAGACAGGAGAGAGGCGTGGACAGTTTCCCTCAGAGCCCTCAGAAGGAACCACCACGGCCAACACCCTGATTTGCACTCCTAGCCCCCAGAACTGTGAGACAATCAATTTCTGTTCTTTAAAGCCCCTGCTTTGTGGTGTTTTATTATACAGCAGCCCTAGGAAGTAAGACAGGCCCCTAAGGGGCCAGGGTCAGCTTGTCCACAAACACCAGATGGACAGGTAGCTCACCACTCTCTTCTCAGTGGAGCACCGGGCCGGACCTCTGCAAGGTGATGCTGGCCCTGCCCTGTGCTGTTGGAGGCCACTTCTGTGTCTGTGCCCCCCACAAGTTGACCTGTGAAGGCAGTTTGGTCCACATACAGCCATCATTCTCCCCACTGACTCTTGAATCTAATAGTTTGTTTTAAATATGTCTCAAGGCTCTCAGCTTCCCAACCTCCATCTCACTTTATGTCCAAAGAAGGCAGAGTTCATTCTGCAATAAGTTCTCCCAGCTCTGGAGAGGTGCCTCTGGCATATTCCGTCAGGATTGTACGGCCTCAGTCCCTGGGTTTAGCTCCAGCCTCTCATTGCCTGGGTCCTGGGGATGTAAAAGACCCTGTGGTCCTCACGGCAGCACAGTCCTGCTGTCCCCTTCACCCAGGAGAAGCCCCCAGCAGAGATGCTGCGGCGACCACCAGAACAATTGACAATTGTTAGGAGTGTGGTTTTTCAATTTCGGTTTGGGAGAGGAAATTGATTTCCGAATACTTAGGTTCATTGTGCTGCTGAAACCTGGAGCTGAATAACCACATTCATTGCCGCGGCTGCTGGTTTTCAGATTCCCACTGGGAGGCACATTGCTCTGATTACTGCGAGCAGCAATGTTTGCACAGCCTGAATGCTTCAGTGAGGTCTGACTCCAATGCCGAGACTGAAATGAAGGCAACAAGACACAGCACGTAATTCTGTCCTGCTGCTGCACAAGTTTCAGATGCTAATCAGAGAGAGAAAGAGATTTCTCAGATCTCTGAGTTTGTCCATAAAATCTGTGGAATGCCTATTGTTTCCTATGTTATTGGGCCACCACTCATCTGTCAGTTTATCGTACTCTGATGGCTTGGGTGTTACTGTGATGCTGGAAGCTATGCCACCAGCCTTTCAAATACCAGCAGGGTCACCCATGGTGGATGGGTTTCAGCAGATCTTCCAGACTAAGACAGACTAGGAAGAAAGGCCTGGTGGTCTAGTTCTGAACAGTAGCCAATGAAAACCTTATGAATCACAACAGAAGATTGTTCAGCTCGCTTGCTTTGACATGTCATCAAGAGGGATCAATCGCTAGAGGAGGACATCATGAAGCAGAGGACCAGCAAGGCCGAGGGAGACCCATGGAGAGATGGATTGGCACAATGACCACGACAAAGGACTTGAACATGCTGATGATCATGAGGATGATGCAGGACTGAGCAGCATTTGGTTCTGTTGTAGATAAGGTCACCATGAGTCAGATCCAACTTGATGGCAGCTATCTATCTCCATTATCAGGAGTTTTAGGGAAATAACAAAGTCTGAAGACCCTGACCCCTGTCTAAGGAGTTAATAATCAAGTTGGAGGTGGGACGCACACAATAGCTCAGGAACACACATTATAACCTACTGAAGAATGGCAATTGATACTGTATAAGTTGGATACATCAGTAGAGAAAGAAAGAGCAGGCTGGTTTTGAAAAGAGGAGGCCGTGGATTGAGAAGGAGGAAGGAGCTCAGGAGAGAAGGCAGGCATGTATCACACACTTCTTCCTGCTTATATTAGAACTACATTGTTTCTCAGGGTCTGTCCTAAAATGGCACATCACCTTTCCCACCCTAATAAGCCTGGCCCATTTCACAAGGACCTAGTTTGCAGAGGGTAAATGTCATTGTTAGCTGCCATCCAGTTGGCTGCCAAGTCCTGAGCCATCCCCAGTCAGTTGCAGATCAGACCCATTGTGATCCATAGGGTTTTCATTGGCTGATTTTCAGAAGTAGATCGCTAGGCCTGCCTTCATAGTCTGTCTTAGTCGGGAAGCTCTGCTGAAATCTGTGCAGCATCAAAGCAACATGAAAGCCTCCACTGACAGATGAGGTGCAATGCCCAGGAATCAAACCTGGGTCTCCTGCATGCAAGGCGAGAGTTCTACCGCTGAACCACCAATGCCTCATAGAGGGTGAATGGAATGTTTAAATGCCTTGCCCAGGAGGCTAGAGTGGCAGATCAGGAGAGAGAAATGAGGTTCGTGGTTGCCCTGGGTTCCCATTTCAGCCTATTCCTATGTGGTTTACAGGTACAGCAGCTGAAACGTACCACCACTTAGCAGAAGGATGTTTGCAGTTAACATGTGTGATACTTGGGCTTGCAGGGGTGGAAGGTACCAAAGGATTCTGAGCACCTCTGGAACCCCATGATACCGGCTGACCCGCCTGGGAATGGGATGACTCTGGGACCATCAGGCCCAGGAAGGGGTGACTCACCTTTACATGGTTAGCGGTGCCTCGTCCTGTTTGGTCCTCACTGCGGTGTTTCCTCTGTGTCTGACAGGCTGAAGTGTGTGCTGGAACTGTGGCAGAGGTGATCCAGTCTGTGGTCAACGGGGCAGACGGCTGCGTGTTCTGTTTCGGCCATGCCAAGCTGGGTTAGTAAGAGCTTTACTTTTTCTGCTGCTCAGTGGGTTCCCTGTGGGCTCCACCCATTCTTCTGTCTTGGTCCCAGAGGCCTCAGATGAAATGAAGGATTAAATGTTTTTTAGGTACTGAATTAAATAATCATGTTCACCATAAGTGGAAATGTAGGTGTTCACCCTAAGTGGATACCCATTCATCTAGGAGAGTCTTCAAGTCCAAGAGATGAACAAAACAGTCACAGGTGGTCCCTAGTTGGTACAGGTCAGAGTCAAGCCCCGAAGCAAGCAGGGACATGTCGATATCCTGAGCAAGGGCTGTCTGAGGGGCAGATAGGGTCTCCTGCCTCCCCAAGAGGACAGGGGTTGCTAGATGGAGCCAGTACAAAAGCCAGAGGAGCAGCCTCCAAGCAAAGCGCAGACCCGAGTTAGGACCCGCCTGGGTAAGTAGTGACAGCGTCCCTGCATCCCAACCTCCAAATTCTGTAGGGAACACCCCGGTGCTGAGTCATCTGTGAAAGGAGGCAGTGCAACACCCCAACAACGGTTTGATGATTCAGTCCCTTCACAGTGCCTTCTTGCTCCTGACCTGTGGCCATCTGCCCAACAGGTCCTACTTTACCTGCATGATAAATTAGTAATCTGGGGAGCTCCAAAAAGTGTCCCTTGCAGAGGAGATAGAGGCCATTTCAAGGCTGGGACAGAAAGCCCATTTCATCTCACTGCCACATCTGTCTCCCCCAGCCCTTCCTTCTCCTCTTGATCTCTGATCAAAGCAATGATCCAGATTTTAATGGAAATTGCTCATGCTTTAAAAATATACACAGCATTTAACTTGAGAAAGGATGTAAAGCGTGAGTATGTGAAGTTAATCTGTGGGACGGCTAGTAAAAGAACCGTAACTGGGATGAAAGGTCCTTGCCTTTCCACTATATGCAAAACAGTGCAGGAACTGTAGAGCTTCTGATGTCTGGGATCTTCCTAAAGGTAAAATGGGATTTAATTTTGTCACTTGTCTAGGCGCTTGCATTCTTTATTATAGCCATTTAATCAGTAGTACTAGGAAATGTCCTTTTTTGTTGTTGTTGCTGTCAATGCTTTTTATTTCTCTCACATTTTCGCTTCTTTTCCTCCCCCTTCGCCACTTCCCCACGCCTTTCTTCTGCATTCTTTGCATCTTTTTTTGTAAAAATATGTATAGCACAATATTTGCCAGTTTAACATTTTTCACGTGCACAATTTTGTGACATCAATTACATCAATCATGTACAACCGTCACCAATATCCACTGCCAAATTTTCCATCACCGTAAACAGAAACTCAGTGCTTCCTAAATAATGATCCCCTTCCTCCATCCCTCCTGCCCCTGGCAGAGGGAGACGACTGATAAACTTTGGTGTCTATGTATTTGCCTGTTGTGGATATTTCATATGAGTGAGATCTTACAGCATTTGTCCTTTTGCACCTGACTTACATCACTCAGCATAACGTTTTCAAGATTCATCCATGTTGTAACATATATCAGGATTTCATTTCTCTTTATGACTGAGTAGTATTCCATGGTGTGTATATACCACATTTTGTTTATCCATTCATCTGTTGATGGACATTTAGGTTGTCTCTACCCTTGGCCTTGCATCCATTTTTGAGACTCTATGGAATGATGGCTGAGCACTCACCCTACTTCCCTTCCTCCCCTTGCTCTCCCAGGAAAGTCTTACACCATGATTGGAAAGGACGATTCCATGCAGAACCTTGGCATCATCCCCTGTGCTATCTCTTGGCTCTTCAAGCTGATAAATGAACGTAAAGAAAAGACTGGAGCCCGTTTCTCAGTCCGCATCTCAGCCGTGGAAGTGTCGGGGAAAGAGGAGAACCTCCGGGACCTACTGTCTGAGGTGGCCACGGGCAGTCTGCAGGATGGCCAGTCTCCAGGGGTGTACCTCTGTGAGGACCCCATCTGTGGCATGCAGGTGATTGATCCCAGAGCTCGGCTTGCCCGAGGGGGCTTTTCCCTACCTCGGAGCCCGTGGCAGTTCAGCCCGTGAATCACTCAACATGTAAACTGGGAGGCTTACGAGTGTTTACTTTAAAGTGGACTGGAACTTTATGACCTGCAGCTGCAGGGCCATCTGCTCACCCAGCCTAAATATTTGTACCTTGAATCTAATTGACAATGAGCAGGAACCACAACTGTGGTATTTGGAGGGAAATTGAATTCACTTTCCTTACACCCCTTCAAAAAAAAAAAAAAAGTACAATCTTTCTTTTGTTTAACAACAAACCGAAATATTTACTGCTCTGCACAAATAGCTGCAGCCATTCCTGTGGCTGTTTATGGCTCTGTAAACTGTGTTTCTGGCACTGGGTTACAGCTGGGTTAGTAGTGCTGTAGGAAAAACTAATAACCACTTTCTAATTAGAACCAGGCTATAGTTGCTACAAGTGTGGAAGCCAAGAGAAGCTCCAGTTCACCTTTACAGGAAGCCATGCCCAAAGAGGATCTCACCCATGCTGTTTGAGGATAGATGTAGGAATGGCTTGGGCGCTCCCTAGTTCATATCTAGACATCAATCCTTTCAGTCTCTAGCACTAGGCTTTATTTTCAAGTGTTATCAGAAGCCTCCTTTTTTAGACAAGTGTTCAGTTTGACAGGACAGGAGTCCCTGGGTGCTGCAGATGGTTAGTGCACTCAACTGCTAACTGGAAGATGGAGGTTCATGTCCACCCAGAGGTGCCTAGGAAGAAAGGCCTGGTGATCTACTTCCAAAAAATCAGCCATTTTAAAACCCGATGGAGCACAGTACTGTTCTGACACACATGGGGTCAACAAGAGTGGGAGTTGACTCGATGGCAACTGTTTTTTAGGTTTTGTTTTCTTTTTTAATAGTTCAGTTTGATAAGTACCTGCCTCATCCCAAGTGGGATTGCTTTCAGGTGAGGATACCCCAGTGGCCTTCGTTATACCCATCTGTTTGAAACCTGACCATGCCATTCCGCTACTTGAGGTACCTCAGATCCTTCCATTTCCTTTATGCATCCCTCATTTCAAAGCTCCTTACGATTTTCAAGGCCCTATATGATCTGGCCCCTGGCCTACTTTTCCAGCATCATCTCTAACCACTCCCCTCCTTGCCTCTTCTCTTAAATTATATTTAAGTCCTTTAAAAGTCTGTGCTTCTGAAACATCAGTGTGCATATAGATTGCCTGGAGAGCTTGTTAAAATGCAGATTCTGATTCAGTAGGCCTGGGGTGGGGCCCCTGATTCTGCATTTCTAAGAAGCTCTGCATAGGTAATCACACCTTCAGTAGCAAGGCTCTGAAACACCAACCTCTGGGCCTTTGCAGATTCTGTTCCCTGTGCATGGAATACTCCTCCTCCCCCTCACTCTTCATCTGGCTAGCTTCTTATCCTTTGGGTCTCAGCTAGGTGTCACTTCTTCCAGGAAGCCTGCTTGGGTGTTTCTCCTAGGGTTACCAGAACACTCTACACTTCCTCACTCATTTTGTAATTGCCTAATTAGTTCTCTGCAACTGCTGGAGACAAAAACTACAGTAGGGTAGGTACCATGTCTAACTAAAATTGGCTGTTCATAATTTTAACAGCTGCTTCAGATACCATTTGTATGTGGGATCTAATTAGAATGCAACCTAATTGGTCATGCAAACCTTAATTCACTTAGGACTGACACTTTCTGGAGCAGTGATTGTCAAACTTTAGTTGGATCCACTCAGAGGACTTGTTAAAACACAAATTGATGGGCCCTGCGCCCAGATTTTCTGATTCAATCAGTCAAGGGTAGAGCCCCCAAATTTGCATTTCTAGTAAGTTCCCAGGTGATACTGATGCTGCTGGTCCAGAGACATGCTCAGACCGTGTCTACACAGCACCTGTGATGGAATCAGCATTACCCTACCCACTGCTCCTGTTCCAAGTTGTACCTAGACATGGAAATACACTATAACCTGCATCACTGGGCAATTAGTGAAGTTCCGTTTAGGTGAAAGTTCTGGTTAACTGAAGGCTAAGAAATAGCAAAAGAAGAAACCAACTTCCTCATTATTTTAATTCTTCTTGTTTAAAACTTAAAAATTCTTTGGTTTACTTTTCTGCCATAGTAAGTACAAAACAGTGAACACAACAGTCTCTCTTTGAAGTTTGAGGAGTTTGATCATCTCAGGTTCTAAATATCGACTGTCACAGTTCTGAATTCTAGATAGAGTCAGTGTAGAAAACTGTCAGAATTTGTGCTGACCCTCAGGCATATATATCCTGTGAATCAGTTCTTTGAATAAATCCAAAATATGAGTTTACTTTTCTCCCAAAAGAAGAGTACTGGACAAATTCTAGTGATGTGATTGTTCTGATTAAGGTTTACTGTCATTGCCAAGGGATCTCATAGGATTGAGAGAAGTTACCTCCTTTGCCTTCTTTAATCACTTAATGGGTGTGCCAGGAGCACGAATTTAGGAACTGAAGATAGAAATAAACCAAAACCAAACCCACTGTCGTCAAGTCAATTTCAACTCATAGCAACCCTACAGGGGAGAGTAGAACTTACCCATAGGGCTTCCAAGGCTGCAATCTTTACAGAAACAGACTGCAACATCTTTCTCCTCTGGAGCCGCTGGAGGGTTCAAACTGCTGACTTTTTGGTTAGCAGCTAAGCACTTAACAACTGCACCACCAGAGCTCCTCAAGATAAAAATACCAGAAAACCAAACCATTGCTGTTGAGTTGATTCTGACTAATAGCGACCCTATAGGACCAAGTAGAACTGCCCCATAGGGTTTCTAAGGAGTGACTGGTGGATTTGAACTGCCAACCTTTTAGTTAGCAGCCGAGCTCTTATATCCCTTAAATGATATGGGTAAGACTTTCAAGTGTCTTGGGCTTCTTATGTGCCTTTTATACTTATTTCTTATTGACTATTCTAGTAAATGTGGTCTAAAATTGGCTTCAGTTAAGTAGGTGGAAAAATTAGGAGTCAAGTTAAAACTCACCAAGTTTTTACTTCTTTGGGATACCGGTGCTGTCATGTCTAATATTACGTTTTGCAACCTACCTAGAGCCTGTACAACCAAATCTTTGAAACCAAAATACAGTGACACCCCTTCTGTTTTCTTAGGTAAACGGTTGGCCCAAGATGTTGGTTTGCTGTTCTCTGCAGTGATGAGCATGGGTCATCTGCTCCCATTGATCACTCAGATACAACCATTTGCTTTTCACACCTGCTATTTACAGATTCTATTGCAGTAAAATGAGTAAAAATTTGTTTTACCCAGTAAGTGTGCTCCATATTAATTTTCAAAACATAATTAATTAAGCTGAGCATTGCTCATGGGTATAGGACCTTGATCTACAGGATTACCGGGCTGAGAGAGGCATGCAGCTTTACTATGCAGAAAGGACAGCCAGCTGAATTGAGTCATTAAAAAAATAGGCTTGAGTGACAGGCAAGCCCTCTCCAGCCTGCAGCTTTAGCTCTCAGCTTCTGTCTTCCAGCTGCAGAACCAGAGCGAGCTGCGGGCCCCCACTGCAGAGAAGGCTGCCTTTTTCCTGGATGCCGCGATCGCCTCCCGCCGGAGCAACCAGCAGGACTGTGACGAGGACGACCACCGCAACTCCCACATGCTCTTCACCCTGCACATCTACCAGTACCGGATGGAGAAGAGTGGGAAGGGGGGAAGTAAGTTGGCCAGCCTCTATGCTTGCTCCTCCTTATCAGCTCTCAAACCAGTGGAAAAAAGTTCTCATCTAGGGCAATTATGACCATTATTTATTTATTTGTTGTTTTAAAGCCATTGTCTTTTATTTTATTTTTGTCAGTACACATATTGTTTTATGACATTGGTTAACAACCCACGACATGTCAACACTTTCCCTTCTTGACCTTGGGGGACCTTTTTTTTTTTTTTTTGGTGAAAATATACGTAGCCAAAGATACACCGTTTCAAAAATTTCTACGTGTACAATTCAGTGACATTGATCACATTCTTCCAGTCGTGCTACTATTCTCACTGTCCTTTTCCAAATTATTCCATCACCACTATCTTCAATTCACTGTCCCCTAGGCTTCCCATCAAACCTTTTGAGTTGCTGTTGTCAGTTTGATCTCACATAATTCTTTTTTTTTTTATTGTACTTCAGATGAAGGTTTACAAAACAAATGGATTCTCATTAAAGTTAGTGTACATGTTGTTTTATGACAATGGTTAACAACCCCACAACATGTCAACACTGTCCCTTCTCAACCTTGAGTTCCCTATTACCAGCTTTCCTGTCCCCTCCTGCCTTCTAGTTCTTGTCCCTGACTGCTGTGCCCCATTAGTCTTGTTTTGTTTTATGGAGCTGTCTAATCTTTGGCTGAAGGTGAACTTGGGGAGTGACTTCATTACTGAGCTAAAAGGGTGTCCGGGGGCCATACTCTCAGGATTTCTCCAGTCTCTGTCAGGCTCATTACCATTTTTTATTAGAACTCGTCTATAGTGTTTGCTAATTTGTAATTTGGAATCCCTGAGTGGTGCAAATAGGTAGTGCACTCAGGTGCTAACCAAAAGATTGGAGGTTCAAGTCCACCCAGAAATGCCTCAGAAGAAAGGCCTTGTGATCTACTTCTAAAAATTAGCCATTGAAAACCCTATGGAGCAGAGTTCTACTCTGAAACACACGGGGTTGCCATGAGTTGAAGTCAACTTGATGGTAACTGGTAATTTATAATTCAAGACAATTGTACAGAGCGTGGGCTTCAGTTTACTCTTGAACTGTGTAAGGGAAAAGGGTTTGCTTTGTAAAGATAATTTATAAATGTGATAGACTTTGGATCTTGAGAAAACAAACAAACAAAAGAAGTGCTTAATACTATCTTTTTGTTCACAAACCCTAAAGGTATTCACTACAAAAGACCCACATTTATCCACCAAAGAACCCTGGCAATGTGTTATTAACCACTCTATGGGCCTGAAAGAAACACGTGTTATTTTAAAAGATTGTATACATCAGACTTTTGGTAACTAGCCAGACGGGCTGTCTCCTCAGGTAGTGCCAGTCCGTGAAGGTTCACTGGGAAAACCCAGGCACAGTACCTGCTCTGTGAGCAAGTTGCACTGCCAGGAACCCAATGTTATGGTCTAGAGTCCCTTCCTGACTACTTTTAAAAGCCTGCACTGACCTTGATCTACTGCTCTCATCTTTGTCTATCAAGTAATGTACTCTAAGCTCAGCAGAATCAACTGCCAGCTCACAGCTGAATATCTCAGGTGGGGCTCTAGAACCATGGGCAAAGTGGCCCATTGACCTCACCAGGCTTTCTAATTATGATAGGGCTGTGCTAGCCAGGCAGAGGCTTCCATGGTCTCTCAATGTATACCTCTGTACAGCTTTTAAAACATAGGCAACTGGCCCACAGCACTTTCTGAATGATTGTTTCATGGACATTGGATGCCAAAAAAAACAAAAAACAAAAACTGAGTTATGATACCAGTCCTAGTGTCTGGAGGTTATGATGCCAACTGAGTGAAGCAGAGACAATCAACAAACCTTATTCTAGTTGGGGCTTGGGCTTGAGCCATCCAACTGGAGTCTGTGGACAGGTTCCCCAGTTTCTTCCCAAGTATCCTTGTTGTCAGAAAGACTTGAAAACCAGTACTACTAGAGACAGTTCTTGAAGAGTTCCATTGCCCCAAATGGGAGCTCTCCCTTTCTTCCATTTCCATGTCTCTGTTGACCCAATCTTCTGCCATTTTTCCTACTCTTTTTTTTTTGTTGTTGTTTAATTCTGGTTTATTGAGATATAATTTACATTCAGTAAAATTTACCTTTTTTTATGTGTGGTTAGATGAGTTTTTGCAAATCTAGACAATTGTATAACCACCACTACCATCAAGATAAAGAACAATGCTATCGCCACATAAAGTTCCCTCTTGCCCTTTGTAGGTAATCCCTTCCCCCACCGCTATCGCCTGGCAACCACTCATCTGATTTCTGTCTTACAGTTTTGCCTTTATCCAGAGTGTCATATAAATGGAATCATATAGCATGTAGCCTTCTGTGTCTGGCATCTTTCATTTAGCAGAGTACACTTGAGGTTGATCCATGTTGCATATATCAGCCATTCACTTATTCTTCTTGCTGCCTACTTCTTTAGTTTTGACTGGGCCAGGTGACTCCCCCAGGCCCCCAGGACTGAACTCTCACCCTCTACCCTGGCCTGGGGCTGGAGTCCCATTATCTAAGGCAAACCTTTATGGCTTGACCTACCTGCAGTGGCTGCTGCCTAAGGAATCCAGAGATACTGGCCCTCCCTTGCAGTGCAAGGGGTGTTCCAGGGAGTGTACCACCAGCAGAAGACCTACTCCTTTGACAGCCAGTGATAGTGAGAAAGTTCTGACACGATGAGCAGGATATTTGGAATGGGAATCCTTCAGAGTAGATTGATTCTCAATAAAGGACTCACACCATGTATATATCTTCCCTTTAGAATAACATTCTTAAAGAAGGAAACAAGGGATTAGAATAGGGATGAGAAGATCCAGACCTTTAAAAACCATAACAGAATTTATCTGCATTTCTCCTGAAGATCTGAGAGCTAGCTTTAAATCCTGCCCTCACTGTTTTTTCTGGGTAATGTCTTAGCAATGTGAATGTGGAAGTCTGAAAAATATTTACTTTATTCTTTTAGGCAGCTGTCAATAATAACAATAATCAGAGTCTGCAGTGGGTTCTTGGACTTTCAGCAAAGGGTGACTCACGAAAGATCTGAATCTTGAGCCAAATGACTTCCAAATGGCACTGAGCAGAAAAACTCAGGAGATGGGTAATCTTCCCCTCCTCTTGGGTTTCACATCAAACTCTGCTTTTCATTTTTCTTCATGGATCTGCTTTTAGTTTGGAGTCCAAGAGTAGAGAGCAACCTTGAAAACAAAGAAACAAATGACTTCAGCTGTAAGAGCTCGAAATTCAGCTTCTACAAATTTAGGCTAGGAGAACTTCCACCCACCCCCAACCCAACTATCCACCCCAAATCAGTATTTAGTGAATCTTAGGCACTTATTAAATATTTAACATCAAACTCATCTTCTTCCTATTTTTAAATTGTGAAAGAGAATTGCTTTTAAATAATAAATTCAGGTTAAAGAAAAAGGCAAATCTTCATTAATGACTTTCACGACCTCTTTTAGATACTTTCTAATCTATCAGTAGATGAGAACAAAGAAGGGGAAAAAGTCCAGCCTAATGGCGATACCAAAACTAAACTCGTTGCTATCGAGTCAATTCCAACTCATAGTGACGCTGTAGGACAGAGTAGAACTGTCCCATAGGGTTTCCAAGGCTTTACAGAAGCAGACTGCCACGTCTTTCTCCCACAGAGCGGCTGGTGGGTTTAAACTGCCCACCTTTCAGTTAGCAGCCGAGCACTTCACCACTGTGCCACCAAAAATCATGGACACCACCTCCCTGTCCTAGCACTGCTGCTTCTAGGTGGGAAAGGGGTTGGAGCCAGAATGTGCACAGCTTTCCAGCCCTCGGCCTCCTCCAGTGAATTTACATCTGTTTAAAATATAATCAGAAGATTTGGAGTGTTGTTTAAAATGGAAATTTTATTTACTTATATATAAGTAATAATCCCTGTAGATCTGGCAGCCAGAACTCAATTAAAGGGAAGTTTATTAATTAGTCACCCCGCAGGGAAGCAGGAAGCAGAGCACATTGCTGTTAGCTGGCCATTTGAAGCTTAGATGATGGTTTCCAAGAGCCCTCTGCTGCAAGAACTAAATAGTCGGGGTGTATATATGCACCTGGATCTTATATACATGTGTGCATTTTACACAAACAGACACACACATGTATACACACAGATAAATTTTTATACAGACATAAATTTTTTAAACATTTCCAGCCAACATAGAAAACAGTCAAAATAGAAAAAGAAAAGTGTAAGCTTAAAGTATTTCCCTGGACACCCTTCTGAACTGAAACTGAAGCCATTCCCGGAGACCACCTTTCAGCAAAACAATAGACAGTCCCATAAAATAAACAATAACACCCAAGAGGAACGAGTTCCTTAGAATGATCAATTATATGAGATCAAAGGACATTTGCCCAAAAGCAAAGATGAGAAGGCAGGGAGGGGTAGAAAATCCAGATGAAGAGAAAGCGGGAACCCAGGGCTGAAATGGGGAGAGTGCTGACACATTGAAGGAAATGCAGCTGATGTCAATGAACACTTTATATATGAACTATTGAATGGGGAACTAATTTGCTCTGTAAACTTTCACCTAAAGCACAATAAAAATTAAAAAAAAATATTTCCCTGGTTTAAAGGGCTTTTGGAATATTACCAGTTGCCATCAAGTTGATTCCAGCTCATGGTGATCCCATGTGTGTCAGAGGAGAACTGTGCTCCATAGGGTTTTCAATGGCTGATTTTCTGGAAGTAGATCACCAGCCCTTTGAAGGCACCTCTGGGTAGACTCAAACCTCCAGCTTTTTGATTAGCAGCCAAGCACGTTAATTGTTTTTACCACCCAGGTGCTTCTTTGGAGTATTAGTGGGATTGATTCTTCACCACTCATGGAGGCCTTCCTCTGATTTACTAAGCTAAATCTGTAATGGTTTAAGAACTCCAAGTGTTGGGGAAGACATCTGAAAGCCCTAATAATCAGAGAGCTGCTTCTTATAATGATGGGT